GGCGGCCTAATGAGGAGAACCCATTAATCTAGTGGCGTGATTAGCGCGATGTAAACGGCGCGCGCGAAGGTCGACGGCGAGAATTCACCTATGCCCGATTATTTACGGGCGCGCTCGTAGCTCATCGTCTTTACCTCCGGGCGGTCCGCGCGTCGTACCGAAGGCATTTACCATGGGTCGTCGGTGCTAAATTCATTGCGCAACGTTGTACCTTTTATCCCGCGGTACGTCACGGTGGACGGGAACGAAAATGCAAAGGGCGCGTCTGTGCGCCTGTGAGATGAATTCTCACGCGATTTTCTTCTTTTCCTCTGCGCTTTGAGTAATTACATTTCATCACGCGATGTTACCGTCTCGACAGCAGTCAACGGTGTTATTTTTGGAACTCGGATATGCGCGACAACATAACACATGTTGCGTCGTTGTTTGTCCACTGAGAGAAAAATATGATCAATCCAATAAAAATTATAATTATTTTTCATCCCAACCATATTTTTCGGTTGTTCTAATACGAAAATGGTAATGGTAACAAGTATACAAGGTTATTATCACCAATATTATAGTGGAATTTAATAAAAAAGAAAATGGTTTCCTTGACTACAATTTATAATAATTATCTCTTTACGTGATTATAGTTACAAGTACGAGGCATTTTTTCTCAGTGCAAAGAGAACAAGATGCACGCTGCGGGTTAAATATAAACCGGGAGTGTTCGTGTTTTTCGAGAGAAAGAGAGAGAGAGAGAGGGGGGGAAGGAGGGAGGGAGAGAGGTAGCAGTGACGCGCGGAATTATCCTATTAGATAGCCGGGAGAGCTGATCGCCACAGATAGCCATCGGCATCGCGCGCGCCTATTTCAGAACTCCGTTAACGTCACCGTTCTTATCGAGCGGGAGCGCGATATCCGCGAAAAACATGGTCTACCGAGTCGATACAACGTCTCGCGGAGGTTGCAACGACGTTAGAGGTTGCACGCTATCTTTACCCGCGTAATATCTCTATAATAGCCGTTAACGACTCGACGGGTATAACGCGCGATAAATGCGGGTAAAACGCGGTGGCGCGGATTGAAACGTTAAACCGCAAAACGAGCCCACGGCGGCTGCTGCGCGTATGGCTGTACTCGCGCGTCCTGGCGGCGCGTCCTGGCGGTGCGTCCTGCCCTGCCTCTCAAATAAAGATACGCCGGCCGGCGGTCGAGATATTTCGCGACCATTAAAATCATCCTACGCTCTCTCCTCTCTGCACCTTTTCTCTCCTCTCAGCGCTCTGCGCGTCCTGGGTCCGTTGCTACGCATTATAGCTACATTTAACGATACATAACGCGTTCTACGCCGTGGCCCATTAAGACGTGATTATCCTTAGACAATAGCCTTTTCATATTCTACCAGTCGTTAGCAGAGGGAATGGGGTAGTAACCGAATTAACGAGTTCTGTCCGTGCGCGCACCGTCGACGTGGATTTATCGGTGGGGGAGGGGGGAGGGGGGCTCGAAAGAAGCGCATCTGCCCTGCCAGAGACAACGGTATCGCGTCGATACTGCCGTGGCGCGATCGCTCATCGCCGTTCTTACCGTTAACCGTTTAAGAACTCGAGTGACCGTCGCCGAAACGCAGCAACGAGAAAAAAGGGAGCATTGTTCCGAGTGGCCGGATGAATATGGATCGCCTGTTAATTCCCTGAGAAGAAAAATGCCTCGGAATACGCGGTGTGCGTAGTGGCTTACGTTCGACACGGGAGATTTCAGCTTCTTGCGACGAACGTTTTTTTGCGCGTGCAAAGATGCGATTTGCGTTGAGGCATGGTATGAAGAGGAGAGAAGCAGAGAAGCAGAGTGTGGGAAAACGGCAAGGCGAGCTTTGCGGTTACTCTGTGAGCTCGTTCGTTTCTTGGATATTAAGTTCAATCGACTTTTTTAACGAGTAAAGAGAGACCAAATTCTTTTGATAAAATTTTCCTTCTTCCCCTTCCGAATTGAAAAAATATATGACGAGGGAATACGATATCTCCCGGAGGTGTGCGTATCCAGCGAGTCGGAGGCGTGCCGTCCGCCAGAATCGTTACTAATCGAATTAGCCGCGTAGCTCGCTAACTCGATTCCGTCCGTTTTCGCGGCGTAATCGCGTTAATATTGGTCCGGGAAACAGGAAGACCGGGCTTACCCACCGACTTCATTAAGAGCGCGCTTCTCGCTTCGCGGGACCTCGCTGTCGCGTTTACTTCGTTAGTTAAGGATCTCGATAAGAGAGAGAGCGGCAACGACGACGACGACGAGCAAGCTTCGCTACGAGGTTCGTTGGCCTCGCGACACGTTCGTGTATATCGAGTTACCATTTAATTTACGCAAATTTCGGCTGAGAAGTCGCACTGAGACGCCACGCGAGATCGCTATCATGGTGTCGGTGTCGCGACGAAAACATACAGTTTTAGCCATTGGACTACTTGGGAAGGGTGGGCAGAGGGGGAGAGGGAAAGCTCTTGACAGCGCTCATAGCGCGACTAACTCGCGTAGGTTAACGATCGCAGTTAGATCGCGCGAAAGACAGGAAATCGGGGAAGTCGACGGGCGCGCGATACGCCTGAGTTTCGCTAATGATCGCGGTGGCAATTAGTTAGGGCCTCCCTGTAAATCTTCTCTAACTAATTACCCTTTACACTCCCAACCCCCCCGATGAAGACCACACGGACTTTCTCGGGCCGACCTCGCGGTTAAACGCTAATTATTATCCTTGTCCGCGATAAATTAAACTGCCAGAGTCCACCTTCCACCTTCGAATGGCTCGAATGGTGCGTATGCACCGCGCGCTTGATGGAGGATGGCACGGACGTGGAGCGGTGCACTGGCCTCCCCTCCCGCTTGTTAGATTTGTGTTATCCTGCCTTTATTCTGCCGAGTATTAATTCACGTTGCGCGAAAAATCGCAACCCTTTGCTCGCTCTCGCGCAGCACTCGCGGACGCGCCGCTCCGCGCTCTTTGGAGACGCCGCCCCACGTCCAACACTGAACGAGAGAGCCGAGTCGGTGTGGGCACGCGCGAATACAATATGCTGCGGTTGCAATTTTCGCACGGTACTTTTTACTTTCTTTTCCCATTTCGAGAAACTTGACTTGTACCTACGTAGAGGATTTTTTCCCGGTTTCTTCAGCCTCTTGATCCACTCGCAAATCTCAATGTGTTCGGCTTTATCGACGCTCTTATCCAGTTGCGCTCCTCGTGTTTTATTTCCGGCGTGTTATTCACCGGTTTATGGGCTTCTTTATGAAGTGCAATAACTTCTCCCTTTTTCTCGATGAACGCCGAGCGCGCAGGGAGAATTCATATTCAGCCGACATGGAGCCGTACTATCCGTTTTCCACGATATACGCCAGTAGTTCCGATAAGTGGCGTTCTTGCGCGGGCCCATTACACCATCGTTAGCGACGCTCATCTAATTAGCTTCGCTATAGCCCGCTAATAAAGACGCGCCGGGCTAGCGGCGCGAGTGGTTCGCCGTGGAGGCACCATGCTACCCCGCGAGTATGTTCGTAGCATTCGCTTGGTAGGATCCGAACGGCTCCGGAATAAAAGGCACCGCGCGGTGTCGCCCTCGTAAAACAGCCGGGCCACCCCTTTGGCGTCGCGTCGCGTTGCGTCGTCTGGAAACGGTAGAAAGCGACGTTAAAACGTCGGCGTGCCGATTATCGCGAATGAATACGCGAGATAAGTCGCGAAAGTCGCGCGGCCGCTCCCTATGTTTCCCGCTCGTCGTCGTGATCTCCCCGCGCCTTCCTCGTCGGCATTTATACAGTCGTTATCGCTAAAGCCGAGCAAAGCCTGAACGAGAGCTTAGAGTCGCATTTTAATTTTAATTTTTGAAGCTCACGCCGCAATTCCGCCCGGAGCAGCTTTAAATTCTTCCGTAGCCGCGCGCCGAGAGAAAATCCTCGAAATTTTCGCGCACGAACATCGCGCAAACTGGAATTTATCTCTCACGGCGTAGCGGGCGACTCACAGTCCGGGGGTAAGTGGGTATAGCCGAAGTGGATGAAGTTCATCTCCTCCGAGAGTCGGAATTACTGGGGACGATGTTCGGGCGCCTGCCGTTACTGCAAATTAAACTCCATTCGTGGGCGGAAGCCGCCCGAATCCTTTCGGAAGTATCGCTTCCTCTCCTATTCGGCAAGGGGCCAAGGGGAGAGAATGGATTCACTGTGTATCACTGTCGGAGGTGAAGGGACTTCCTCTTCAGGAAACGTTCTGGAAATGATGCGGTGCTGGTGCTGCAGGAGGAGCTGGCAGAAGGTCGTGCCGTGACCTTCGCTCCTTCGGAACCGTCGGGAGCTCGTCCCGTCACGTAGCTTCGATACGTCGCGTAATGACAGCCCCGAAGAGAGCGGCCAATGGCGAATCCGGTCGCGACGTTTGAATAGATTGCACTGGCGCGCACAGATCGACCATCATCATCATAATCATCATCAGCAGCAGCAGCAACATCATCATCATCATCATCATCATCATCATAATCATCATCATTATCATCATCGAAACGTGATCGCTACCGGCATTAGCTCACGCGTTTTCCTGACGCAACAATCATCACCAATTTGCCGTCCAGATATTACCGCGCGTCGATGCACCCTCGCCATTCTCTCCCCTCCGCCCTTCCATCCCCGCGAGAGTCGTTTGTAATCAATCGGCATGATGTTCCCTGATTGACGATTTCCAGCGATATCCTCGCACGAGATGAAGCCTTTTCCGGATGAATTTTCCACGTTTCATGCAACGATCGGTAAAGGCGCGAATCTTCACGAGAGAAATGAATTCTTATAAAAAGTGGAGAAATGAGAGCTATATACGCGTGAACTAGATTTTCTCCCGCAATCGTAAAGTTTTCGTAGCGCGTATCGTGCATAGTATCGTTTTATTTGTTCAACGGCGATGTTTTAGCATATAATTTCGCCCTTTACGAACTGGAGGCAATTTCAATGGGCGTAAACATCGGTGATTTCTCTGATTTCAGATTCCCAGATGGAGCAAGGATACCGATCGGAGGTGCAAGAACGAGCGCTCGTGGTGTCGCTGCAGATGTTCAGCCTGATCTTAGAACGCGGAGTATCTCTGCTGAAGGCTCAGCTAGACAGCGGGAAGGAACCGAGGCTGGTGGTCGGCGAGGATCTGCAAGTGCTTCTACCGGCTATTAAGGTACTTTCCCTCTTTCCCTCATCATCGCAGGTCAATACGTATCGAGCGAAGTCTTAATTGCGTTTCACGACGCGCGAGTCGGCCCGTAAGTCAATTTCCGAGTCGAAACGTTCACTCGATTACATCCATCGTCCGTGGCTCGCTATTACGAGATAATTAGATCCGGAGCAGTGACGATCAACCTCTCCTTCGCTACCTTCGCTCTCGCCGCTCACGGATAAACGTCTCGACAAATCGAGAATTCCTCGATAAACACGCGAATCGTCGCGGAAGGAAGTCTCGTCCACGTTTGACGTTTCAGTCCTTTCCCTCCGTTCCCTCCCATACCGGAATGACTCGTGACCGATCGCCGGTTATTGGCCGTCACTGATCCGGATAGTCGCGATTACACCTGGAGCTAACCTGGAAGGCGCCAGGTTTTCCTCCCGCGAACCCGATCCGATCCACCGCTGTCGCCGTGGTCGCCGCTCTGCGCTCTCGAACGCCTCTCTAACCGGCGGAGAATTTATGGAGCGCCGCGAGAGTTTCGCACCCACGCAAGGTCTGCCGGTGGCCGGTGTCAGGTCCAGAACCCGACCCGTTCGTGTCTCGACTTATTATGCAACCCGACGTTCGCGATTAATGCACCTATCGCACGTAAGCCGTGCACGCGCGCGCGGGACCGCTTCATCGATTAAACGTCGTTCCGTGATCGAACGTCGGTAATCTCAACGGCGCTGGCGATTTTTCTCGCTCGGAGCGGGACCGCGTGCTGAAGGCCGATTGCGAAACAGCGTGATAGTCGCGATGTAATTACACAGGCCGACCGGAAAGATGGATGCGAGGGATCCAGGAGATGATCGGGTATTGCGTTTGGAGCGAAAACGCAAATTTCAATCGCCCCCTTCCCCCACAGTCGCGCCTCATACGCGCAATGTGTACGTCTCTCTCCACGGTGAAGAAGGAGTCGGGCGGCCGTCGATCTTATTGCGTTTCATTCGAGCGTTTCGCCCGGGGTACAGCGCGTCTCGTGTAGTTACATTAAATAGTCCCGGCTCGACGGGAGAAAAAGGTGTAGGGAAAAAAAGGAACAATGATTACTATCGGAATGCGAGGTGATACAAGGAATAATAGCCGGACTCGTGCTTACGACCGAGGTGAGACCATTAATATTGCCGATAAAGTAGACGCGATACAAGGCCGCTGGAATACGTTTCACTTTATGAGGATGGATGGACGTGCTCGATGAAAAAAGCGTCTCGCGAGAGAGTGTCTATAAATAGCGAAGTACTTTCGCGCACCCTCCCGACAGTTGGGGACTTGATAAGCCCCCGTGAGCGGGAGAAGTAAAAATCTCGGAAGATAATTTCGTAAAATAACAGCCGCGTACATTTGAAGGCACAGCAACGAGTGTGCCTTTCGTCCCGAGTTTTGATTACCTAAAACTTGCGCTTTTGCGCAATTTTGCGTTGCTCAAATATTCCTGAAGATATAACACACGCAGCTTTTCTACGGTGTTATTGTTCTCGGCGCATAGACTACTTCGCGCCGAGAAATAACTTTCTGCAAATATCACGCTGGCAACTTTGTACTTTGACTCCATGTTACTTTACGCATGTGTTTTTCACGCTTGCTTTTCTCTGTTTCTGTTTAGATCTGGTGCGACTGGATGCTCTGTCATAGCACGGTTTGGAACCCGCCGCCGTCTTGCACGGATTACAGAGTTGGGTGAGTTGGTGAAACTCGATAAATAAAGTAAAATTAGTGCAACGTACGTTGCGGGATGGGTGGCCATAGTAGTCCCGCCCCTCGGCGTAATCTCTTTACCGTGTTTTACAAATAAGTTTCGCGTTCGGCTTACGTTCGGAGGCTGTCCGGCCTCGGATTAATCACAACTTTGGTGCGCGCAACAACGTTAACCGCGCGTCGCAGAGCCCGGGTGGTGTTAGGGTTAAAGTTACATGCAACCGTGAAAATGAACGTCGCCAATGTATCAGACTCTCGCGGCCGACGCAGCAAGAATGGCCGATATATCTGGAACTTTCTGTTCCTGTGGTCTGCGGTCTGCGGCCTGAATCGCGGACCATCGGCTTTCCAGCCGAGCTCTCCAGTACGATATTTATGATAGTCAGGAATTTACGCGGCGTAAAAATGTGCGCGCGGCAACGCGTTCATTAAGGCCCGCGTGCGAGGCGGCCTCTGCCTCATCGAGGTATGTGCAGTCGTAAATAACAGATCGCTAAAGAATCGATCGTCATTCAGGAGCTCATAGTATCTGTTTATTCGTAATCGTCACTTCGACTTATGTTCATGCGATATTTATTGCCCGCACCCGCGGTAACCGATGATTATCAGTAATCCGCGCGCGTGGTAATTAATCATTATTAATTTATCAAGCAGTGGTTATAATCGTAAGACATATAATTTTGCTTCTTATTTGGCTGAACCTTTTTTGTTATAACGTTCAAACTTACGCACGCGAACGTGGTGGCTCAAATAGCGCAGCGGCTTTCGGCGCGGTCTCTGGAGGTTAATTATTACCCTTACCTCGTAATTTCAATGCCTACGAGTATCGTGGAGCTCGAAAATTAATCACTTCCGAATATAATGATCTTTTCACGTTTCGGGAGGGAAGGACCGCGAAGGAAGATATTAATTTGAGAATAATGGCTGTTCGATCGGCCTCTCGGGATCCTAGCTCTTCCTAGGCCGCGCACGAACGCGCGAGGTACTTAGCGCAAACTTGACCTTGGTGGAAGCTAACATGTTCGAAGCGAGGGATCATCGGCGCGCCAAGTGCTACCGATCATGTCGAGATCTATTCGTACTTGACGAGAATATCGTATCGAAATAAATTATAGCCAGGGTCGCTCCAAGACGTAGACCTTTGGCACTCTGGCCTCTCGGAAGTTCTGACCCTCGTCGCGTCCAACACTTTCAAGCCGATTCCCATCTCTCGCGTTCGACTCGGAATACGTCTTTAAAGTGGAAACTTTATCGCGCCGACAGGGCGAATGGTTCGATATCAGGGTCGTCTGAAATTCTCCTAGGATCTCTCTTCACTTTTGGCAAAGGGAAATTGCGAATACGAAGAAGTCGCGGAGTAATCGAAGGCAACGACTGCTTTTTTTCAGATGCCCCGAATTGTCGCGCTGGCGTCGCCGCGGTTCTTTCTCTCTTTCTTTCTTTCTCTCTCTCTCTCTCTCTCTCTCTCTCTGTCTCCCTTGGCCACTCTCTCTCGGCGTTCCTCCGCGCGCTCGTGTTTCACGAGAGCCGATATCTTACAGGGGGGACGTGATGGAAGTGAGCGTGGCGTAGGTCACGGTCAACCGCTGCATCGTATCGAGGCTCGATCTCTCGAATCGCACGCGGGCGCCCGCGACTCGTGCAGGTTCCTGCGGCACTATTTCTACACGCTTCTCTCGCGTCGCGAATGCATAAGTTACTGTCCCACCCTCCCCTCTCCTGCCCCTTTAATTATTACTACGTGAGTTCTAATTTCAAGAGGGCGAGCGCGCGTTTCGCGGCGTGGTCTACATCTTGCTTTTGTCAAACGGATTAATCCTCCAGATCGGCGGTGAGAGAGAGAGAGAGAAAGAAGAAGAAGAAAAAGAGGAGACAGACAGATAGTTGGACGGAGAAAGAGCGAGAGGGAGATTTGTAGGGTGGCTTTTCGCCAACTCGCGGCGCATTCGGCCCCGTCGCAGCTGCGCCGAGCAACTATTAATTCAGGTTGACACTTGAGGTGTTTTGAATTATGACTATTGTATCGGACTATTAATTTCGTCTCGCGCGTAGTGATGCCCCGGCGAATCGCGCGCTGCGAGAAACTCGCAGGTAAAGACGTCGTGGCACCCGCGGCGGCCGACCGGACGACGACGTTCCCGCGGTGCGACACGTGTTCGTGATTGTAACGTTCTGTGCTGTCTCATAGTGCCGCGGGGAAAGTCCCACCGCCGCCAATTTGAGCGATGGATTTCCGAAAAAGGGAGTAGAGAAGACTGGCGTGCACGTTAAACGCGTTGCACGGACGCACGCGAGATCTCCGCCATGGGATCGATGCGATTTGACCCGATGCGATTTTCCACTCGCTGAACTCGCTGAACTCGCGCGAGATAATGGATTGGAGCACCTCGTCCATTTCGCACAAAACGAGCCCGTTGGGTCGCCGAATTCCGGCGCGCCTCGCGCTGACTCACGGCGCTAAATAAGGGACCCAAAAAGCGCGCCACGAGACGGGGAAACCCCGACGCGCCCTGTGGCGCGCGGTCGAGGGCCCAAGGGCCACGGTTTCACAAAGGATCGGCGCGTCTCGAATTGATCATCCGCGAGCGTGAGCGAATACTTTTTGGCGCGCGAATACGAGGCTCGCGCGCTCGTAGAGACGACTCGTAGAGGTGGAGAAAGGAGAGAGAATGCGCGCGCGAGCGAGAGAGAGAGAGCGCTGTTCATCTTATCGACGGCGTTTCGTCGTCGTCGTCGTCCTCGTCGTCGTCGTCATCGTCATCGTCGTCGTCGTCGTCGTCGCCGTCGCCGTCGCCGTCGCTTCGGCGCGAGTTTCGCTAATGAGATAAAATAAAAGAAGAATAAGAGCGAGGGAAAAGAGCGCGAGAGTCACGCTTGTCCGACTGATGCAATCTACCGTCCATTAAACGAGCCTCAAGGCTCCCTCTCCTTCTCCGCTTCTCCTTTTCTCTTACCTTCTCTCTGTCTCTTGCTCTCGCGACGTCGTTCTCCAGCGCTCCTTTGCGTAACCAACGGCCACTATCCGGCTGGATAGGTTAATTATTGTTGCTCGTTAGCGATTAACAATTACGTGAGTCAAGCGTTTCCTTGGCAAGGACGCGGCGAGACGATCGGCGCAGCCACCGTCGTCTCCGTCGCCGATCCTCTCCTCGATCTTGATCGCTGCGTCGGAACGGCTAGAACGGCGCGTGATTCGACGCGGACGTGGATTTCGCGACGCGAGTCTCGTGGCAGGCGCGATTAACCGATGACCTTTAACGACGCTGGCCGATTAATCGCGCCGGAAACCGCGAGTGGCGCGCACACTTTTGCTCGCAGTGGAATTAAGCGATCGGTCAAGTCCCTTCGTGATCCTCGCGCCGAGCCTTCTCTCGCGCATCGTCATCGCGCGGTCGTGTCTTCCATCGTTAAAGACACGATGTGACACGCCGGGGCGAGTGGAAGCTTTCATTTTGCATAACGCATGACAGGACTCGTTTTGCAACTTCTATTTGACGAGGAAACGTTATAAACGTTACGTGTTTCTGCTATTAAAAGATGTTTCGCGCAGAATCGCGAAGGGATTTGTCCTGGAGAAGATCGGAAAAGATTGGAGAGAGTCTGCGTAGCTCACGTGATAACATTTCTCATCGTCTGTCGGAGTCTGCACGAGTAGAGGAAAAGAACGGGGGAAAAACTGTGTCTACGAGTGGGAACGCTGGCAGTAAAAGGGAAACGCTCCTCGCTCCCAGGCACGGTCCCAGAATCGCCATTCGTCGCGTTAGGAATTAATAATTGAGCGGGCGACTTTGGCTTTACAGTAATACGGAAGTGGTGAATGGAAACGTATGCCCCGCCGCGGGTAGATCATTAATAACGTCGTCGGAACGAGCCGCCTGTGTACGAAGTACATTAAATGTATAAATCTGTGATCTATTATTATTATCCACCGGCGCGGCGCATTACGCGGACCCGCCGCAATAATTTCCAATATGTAATTCTCGACATTGGTAATAAATAGTCGCGCGGGGATATATCATATTCGCGCGAGGGCCCGCGCGCTCGTTCCCTCTTGGCGCGCGCGCGCATGAGAGAGAAAGAGGAGGGACTCACCACTCTTCGTCTTCGCACCACAAATGGTCAGATATAAATTTTATCAGCCGTCCGTTTTTCAATCGCACCTACTCTCGCGTCTCGCATTTATATGTCTTGTCGTAAATACGAAATCGTGCGCGCTCCCGCGCCAAGGCGTGCGAAAATTCGATGGCGAATTGCGCGGCGGCTCGGGGCGTGCAAACCGCGAGCGGGTTAGTCCACGGGCCATCGGTGGGCGCACTTTCGTGCGGCACGCCGAAACAGTATTTTCGTTATTTTCGAATCTCGAAAATCACGATCCACCGGTCGAACGGGGCTAATTGTACCTTGTGGTCAGAGAGATTCATCGCGTGACTGAGATCGCCACGGAGTTCAGGACACTCGCCTCATGTCAGGTGTACGCGAGGCGAGCAGTCAAGGAAGCGAATTACCCGGCGTGTATCGCGTTCCTTTTTTCATAAATAAATAATATTTGATCGAGTGTGCTGCTTACACAGCCGTCAATCTATATATTTTTTTCTCTTTTTCACGGGGACATTCACTTCGTCATCTTCGCGACGAACGCGCCGATGAGGGATCATCACGACATAGAGAATTACTTTCGGACTTCGGCGAAGAAGGTGCAGGAACGCCTGCCGATCGTAAAAGAGGCGCGGCATCAAATGATGTTAAACGATCTAGTAAAAAATACACTTGAATAATTGAGAACTGGTGCCAATTTGGCGCGTCGCGAATCACAAATCACGTTCGATGAGTCAGTCTACGAGATGAGGTAGATTTGACCGCGCGGATCGGACCTGTCTTCCGACCTTGATACTACACCGAGACCCTTCTTCGGCTACTTTCGAATTACGTATTAGAAGAATGGCCCGTTCTCTCTTGAGAATCTTGTTGAATCACGAAGCACCTTTGTCGCGAGGCAGAGTTTAAGCCGCGGGTGAGATTCTTCCGGATTCTCGCTATTCTCGACGAGTATTATCCGCGGGGCTTCGTAAAGATGCTTCATTCGATCCTCTGCTTTGTTACAGACCGCCCGGAGACGCGTGGAGCAGATTGGCGACGATGGTGAACCTCCTGGAGAAATTAAATTACACCAGGACAAGCTTGATTCAAGGCAAGGAAGCCGAGGGTCGCGAAGAAGGTAAGGAAGTGTCAGCTAATAGACCCCGCTGTGTCTTTTGTGCGCAACGAACAACTTCCGTGTGCGCCGTCGGTCGATTATTTTACGGCAAAGCGGAACGCGCGAGAGGCGAGTCGAAGATTGTGCGAGGCTCGTTAACGCCCGCGCAATTCGATCCTTTTCGTTTGATCCGCTCGATCCTTGCGTTCGCTTCTCTGTAGATACGCGATCCCGAATTTGCCGATGTCGTCGACAACAGAGCAGTGCCTGAAGGTTTCTTGGAATGGACACCGCGGGTTTTAAGGAAGACGCGAAAGAAGCGCGAGAGGAAGAGTAGAAGCGACAAAACATTCCCGCGTTTCTCGATCACGACTCGTGCGAATCTCGCGGATAGACCTGGACCAGGCTTAATCGAAAAAGCCGCGTTCCTCGCGCGGCCAAGTCGGTGTCCAGTCTGTTGACCCGTAGGTAGCTGGCGCGACGGTTGCGTAACGGTGAATACGTTCGACATGACCACTGCAGTGCCATTCTCTGCGGCCGTTTACTAGCGAGTGGCCAATGGTCTTTCAGCGTGCGCGCGAGCCACGTCGCGCGTCTTCCACTGTATTCTCGTCGCAAGCGCATGTTATGAATACACAAATTGCATTGCCCCGAAGCTCATTCACGTGCGGCCCTCGCGAGGACAACTCGACAACGACGACGACCAAGACGACGATGAGAGCCTCTCCCGTCGATTTTCCAGGCGACCATGTCTCGCGAATGCGATCTCGTGTAGCGCGCTCGTATGCTCGGTAATACGCCGGGACCGGCGAATATAATAGATATCGCGCGAGTAAGAAAGGCAGAGAGTCGCGCGCGAGTGTCCGTCCGGCGAGAGCGAGCCCGTCTCGCGCGAAGCCACCCATCACAATTAATATCCGTCCGGAGGATAATTATGACCGATACATCGGCGATTAATATCGCGCTAGTAATGAATTCGCTTGTTCGATGATAATCCATTACGCTCGCGCGCGGCGATATTTTATCATTTACGTTATATTCCTCGCGTCGCGGTGCGAGATACTTGCCGCAGCGTGTGTCGATCGTTCATTAGCGGCGCGCGATAGACTTTGGATCGGGACATAATGAAATATAACAATGGGGCGCGCTGAGAATAACACGGTGCTTAACGTCAGGGAAAATGCTCGAGACGGGGTGAAGCGCCCCAAGGTGCTTCTTAACACCCCGACAGCTCGAGGAGTGACGCGAAAATGCAGTCAGATCGTGCCTTTCACTCTCGATTTATATGATTGTAAAGCAGATTCTAATATCAACTCTTACACGATGAAATAGTATAGTGGCAAGGCGGGGGTGTCATACTTTTGGACAATTTACTCTTTGACGAAGAAGTTCTAGCTCAAAGATTGTAAAAGTCGCTCAAGAAATCCACTCCTCCCTCTGGATTGTAAAGATTAATTCCAATTTTACACGGAAAAGAAACATTTTGTCGGATTAACAAAATTTCTGATGAAATATAATCGAAACAGAAAATTCCGGTAACCTTAACCGGATCAAATTTTTTATTCGTTCATATTTCATCAGAAATCCAACCAAACTGTATGTCCTGTGTGATTCCAATTCTTGATTTCGCGGGCGACTCGCGCGATAATTACCGGCGACCCGATACGGCGGGCTGATACGGAGTCCGCGATAACGGAGGCGACCGGTCGCGTACGTACCTTACAGCGGGCTGTGAAGGATCCTTTCTTTTTTTCTTTTCGAATCGCGTCAGACGCGATCGCGAGTTCGGTTTCGAACTGGGTCTTCCAACGGGTCCGCTCGCGTGGAAACGAGCGTTCCAGTTTCGCGGCGCGTCCTTGCTCGCGGTATACTTACCTCTAAACCGAGTATGTGCACTGGACGACAAGCGCGTCACTCATCGTGAATATCGCTGCGCGCACGTATTGCCGGGACAGAACCGTGATCGTTGATCACGGCTGACTAGAATTAACAAGCTCGTCTGATCCGCGGCCGACCGTAGCCGACCGAAATCGGCTGTGCGCGATGGGAGACACGATGTTATTAGTTAGCGGGACGCAAACTTACGGTATTCTTTGACATTCGCGATCGCTCTCGAGCCATATCTGGGTCAGGGGTTTGTGTCCCTGGAAAATTGGCGTGAACTTTTTGGCATGGCGACGCGCGAACACGCCCCGTCGTGTCGTGGAACTTTAATGCCGGGCACGGAAGGCGACGGGTCGTCACAATGCGATCGCATTTTACCGATTCCGACCGCGCGACATAAACATCTGAGCTCCTTTCGCGATACGTGATATGTGTCTTTGCGCGTGTCGTTCGCGTGAGTTCAGGGTCATCGCGACTAAGTGATTTGCGCATGCCGTTCGCGGAGAGCTTCGGGTTTGGCACGAATCGGAAAGTTTGACACGAGGAGCGTCGATCGGTCGCAATCAGCGGGCGTATAACGAATATCGTTTGTTTCAGAATTAGAACTAGTGAAGTTGCCCGAGGATATCACATTGGCGGGATTCACCCCTCTCATGCTGAATCCCCAGGATCCTTCTTACGTGGAGAAAACGGAGGACATGGTAAGCGCGCAAGTTCAACATTGCGTTTTGTCGATAACGAGATTAAAAACGGAGAAAACTGCGCTCTATTATCCGTGACTTAAAAAAAGAGGGGAGAAAAATTCCGCTCTCGATTAGAAGTGTCCAAAGATCTCGCGAATTTCTCGTCGAATCGACGTCGATCCGATACCCCTCTGTATTTCGCGCGACATCTATGGATCGGGTAAACTTTCTCGTTTCAGGAAGTGGCTCAGGTGTGTCTGAGGATAAGCAAGATCCTCTTCTTCGGTCAAGTGTTCTTGTGCGGCTTGGAGACACCAGTGCTGAAACTGCAGAAGAGCGAGACCGGTGTCAGCGAATACGTGTCCGTGGTGGAGGCCTCGAGCACGAGTTCACCGAGTTCGCCGCCGGAGCAGGTACGTAACTGTCGTAAATCTCGAGTCCCGCGAGAGAAAACGCGCGCGTTCGTTGAGCCCCGCGGATTTCGGATCCGATCTCCCGAAAGCAGCCGGCGAAGCTGAGGGCGCTTGAGCGAGACGATCGCGGTCCATCTATCTCGAGAGGCTGTCCTTATCCCGATATTGTGGAAAATAACGGTGAAGAGACAGTTCTCCTTTCTAATAATGAAGACACATCGATCCACACGCCCAAGTCTGACAGTAGGAATTTAACTCCGAATTGAGTAATGTCTTCAGCAATATTTATGATTCGGATTGTCGCGATAGAAATTCAACTCTCTCGCTTCCCGAGGGTGATATAAATATTAATTACCGGTGCGTCAGAGGGGCGTTAAAATTAAGTAGATCAGATTTCTTCCGCCTCGGGATTTTCGATTAAATCCGGTCGCCGCCACGGCTTCGTTATTGCAGGGAGAGATTTCTACGACGAAATTAATTTACCCTCAGAGCGACTCGGAACTCCTAGTGGAGAGTTACAGCGAAGGGGAGGAGGAAGAGTCGATTTCCAAGCTGAGGAGATTACCCTCGTGCAGCGTAGCCGACGATACGATGGCTCCCGTCGCGGCGGTCGAGATAAGGTCACTGATTGAGAGGAAGGAAGAATTGGAGAGGCGGCAGCGGAAACAGGATCGACATCGGCAGCGGGTGCAGGTGAGTGTTTCGAAGTATCCTGCAGCGATCTATCGACTCGTCGACGCGATAAACGGCGTCGATGGGCCGCTACTTATCACGCTGTTATGCGGAAATGATTAAAGCTGCGATCGCGCGTCAACCGGCGACGATAAACCCGTGATTTCGAACTGCCGGATTCTCGGCGGTTGGAGTCGGCATGTCGCGACGACAGGCGTACACGGTGCTGCCCGAAATCGATTTTCAATTGCGCGACCTGCGATCGAGCTGCTGTTGAGCGAGTCGCCGCGGGAATCGACGAGGCATCTCACCGCTTTCGAACTTAGCTCGTATTGCGCGCGACTTGCCGGCGATGGAGACGTCGACGCGGATTTCGCCGTGTCTAAACGCGATACCAGTCCGACCAGCAACTCCCTCCCCCCCCCTCTTCCCCTTGCGTTCCACGTTTCTCGCGCTTCTCTTCTCCTTCGACCTGTCTTCCCACTTTGAGAGGGGAGGGAGCGAGAGGGACAAGAGCAACGAGAGGTATCTTGCGAGAAAGAGAGAAAGATGTATTCGTCGGGTCTAAGTCGAACTAAATCAAGAGATTACAACGCGTTGCCTTCTCGCGAAAGAAGCAGAAGAGCCTGGCCACCCCTCCCCCTTCCCCTGCTCCTCTTTCTTTTCGCATTCCTCCACCCCGTATCGCACCACCCCTCGCCGTCGCCGTCCTTTTATTTCGAATCGCGATCCTCGATCCTCTCTCGCCGCAGACTCTCGCAGCACGCAAGCCCGCCGTTTTTATTTACGGCATCGAAACTCCTCCTTTTTGCATATTTATTATCCTACCCCAGCTTGGGGCCGGATTTTGTGCATACTATGTGGTCGGCCGTGCGCTGTCCTTCTCTCTCTCTCTCTCTCTCTCTCTCTCTCTCTTTCTCTCTTTTTCCATCCTTCTCGGCCCTCACGAAGCGATATTTTTCTTTTGGAAGAAAAAGAAGAGAGACAAGAGGAAGGGGGGAAGAAAAGAGCAGGCCGGCCTTTACGGAGATCCTGTACACGCGGGATTGTCCTGTTTTTCAGCTCGATTTTTTCTCAAGCCGAATATAAGCTTCGCATCCCGAACGGTAAGCGTGCGAATACAGATGTACGCGTGTTTCGAGTTCGAATTCACTACGGAACGGGTATAATAACGGACAAAATGCGGTTGGCAGTTTCGAATATATTAACAAGTCGTACGAGGGAGAAAGAAGAGGGGGCGAAAGATGCGAGGAGATGCAGAGCGGAGGATATCCTCCGCACGTCGTTCCCGATGGAACCTATCAAATTCAAGACCTCGCGGCGTCTCTCTCTCAACTCGAGCTCAGGCCACGAGACGCCCCCGGGCGCATCGAGGAAATTCACGTGAACGATCCGCCCGCGAAATTCGCCCCGTCTTGCTTCGGGTTTTATCGGGCTTTCCCACGGCGCCCTCCGAGAAGTCGGTATAAATTTCTCGTCGTTTCTCCCGTATCTCCTGAATTTTTCGCGCGCGCGCGCGCACTTTTATCAGGAAACAAAACCGGAGGCGAAATGCGCGCGGCAGATCTCCTCTCTACCCTCCCGCTTTTCTCGATTCCGGGGCGCGTCCCGGGGGCCGTGTGGAATTGTTTCGAGGATAAAGTTCGGCGAGAGTCCGGCGTGACCCCGTCGCGAAATAAATAGCCGCGATATCGTAGCGTCGGTAGTTTGTTCGACAGCCTCGAAGCAGTTTTATCGCCGCTCGTCCTTCTTCCGCGCTCTGAGCGGACGTTCCGCTCTTTTTTACTCGGACTTGTGCTCGGTCTCTCTTGCTTTTCTTCCTCGTGATTCGCCGAGGCGCGCGATAACAGGTTGACGCTAAACCCCGCGCTGTTTTTTACGCGCGCGACTTCACCGAGTTTTCTCCTTTGGCACCAATCGAGCGGTCGATCAGGGCTTCCCCGTTTCACCCCGAATCGCGCACGATTGTCGCGCCTGATTTCCACGCAGAGAGCGTGGAGTCTCTTCGCGAAAATTCCAACATTCGGACTTGTCTGCCTTGTCGTCACGCGTCGCTTATTATCTATCCATCGAGATACGTACATACGCGCGGCCGAGAGGCGACGAATCTCCGCGCGCGGGCCTATTTTAACGCTTGAATGAACCCGCCGCGGAATGTAGAACGGTCCTGTTGCACGCGCGTAACACCTCGGAACCAGTTTTTCCGCGGACAACGGTGAACCTGAATTATACCACTCGACGACGAGTGAATTGCGCTTCGGCGTCCCGCAAGCTTCAAATTGCGTTAGCGCGCGCGAATTGGCCCCGAGTGCAGGAGCAAACGCTTAATTGGCCGGCGAAATTTCGCGCGTGTCACATCACGAGCCGGTTAAACCGCAAAGCCCGGAACCGGCCTCGCCGTTGCCTAAAAGCGGCGATGATGATTCGGTCATTTTAACCGTATTTCGCGATCTGGTATTTCCAGGCCGACAGGTAGATACCGTTTCGCATCTGCATTATTTCGGCGCACGGTTAGCTGCGCGAACCGCCGTGATACAACGCGGACGATTGCTTTTCCGCGGGTATAGTTACTCGTATTAATTGAATTAAGTAATCCAATTAATTTGATTAATCGACTGTATATAATCAGGTACTGTGCATTACTACTCGCCCGCCGCAAACTGCTACCCGCCGCAAACGCGCGCGCGCGCGCTGAATTGTGTTCGATCGCGTCGCAATTAGATCGTGCATTTTTCTCGCCCGCCGACAGTTTTATCTTCCGTATTTACGCCAAACGACGAGCACGCGGTCGCGCATCGCGTGTCCCGCAAACGCGCGCAGCTACGCTTTACGCGGGACGACTTTTTGCGCGGGATTTTTTGCCCCGTCTCGGGGCCGAACAATCAAATTCGCATTTTGCTCGGCGCTCGCTCGTCGCGTGCTATTGCATCGCGAAGAAGCTACTGCCCCGTTGGTCACGTCGATTAAAACGATATTTCGCCGCCCTTCTTCTTCTGCTGCTACACGTACGGAGAGTGAGCGAGACGGAGGGGCAGGGAGGGGGGGGGGAGAGAAAAAAAGGAATGATTTACGGACGATTTGCACGGAGAGCGGATAAAAAGCCGCGCGCGGATTGGCCTGCAGCCTAATCACTACGTTCGGTGATAATAGCATTATCTGAGAGAAGCGCGTGTTGCGTCAGACTGCCGGAATGTACACATACACAACGCGAACTGTAACCAATTAATCCTTCATCTGCATCGCCCGTGGTGTTCGATGATATTTCCTTTTTGCGCACGGCACGGCGGCCCGTCATGCTTGGTCGATGAACCGTGGACGACTCACGGATTCAGGATAACATCGTAATGCGTCTTAACCACGGGTTCTTTCGGGTACGGCGGATATTTAATAACCCTCTTTCAGTGCCGAATTTTTATGTCTTGTAACGAGAGAGAGAGAGAGAGAGAGAGAGAGAGAGAGAGAGAGAGAGAGAGAGAGAGAG